GCAAGAAATTGTGGCGTCAAACTGGTTGTCGGTTGAATTGTTTTTCAATAGACAATAATTTTGGAGCCTGTAGTTGTCTATGAAATGTTTCTAAGTTTTGTTGAGGATTATTCTGTAAAGAAATTGCTGAAATTATTTCATCTGTTCGTAAACGGGACGTTGTTGCTTTGACGATGGGCTACGGACGACTGACGTCGAAACGTTCCATTCAGTTCGGATGGCGCCCTCTCGTGCCACCCCCCCCCCCCTGCTAAAAACGAAACAAACACACCCTTACCCAATGCACTATAAACTTGGGCATCAGTACACAGGACCGCATCGAGGGTCGTATATAGCCTTTCGATGTATTTAATATTTCACATTACTGAATGTTTTGTTGAAAACATGTCAGATTTTACAATAATGCCAGTGTTAAATGTGGGTCATTACAAATTCATTTTTTTTAATTAGCATAAAATCTTCTTTTTTAAGTAATTAAAATGTTCCACACTGTAAACATTGTAAAATAATACAAGTAAGCGCTGTTGTTTTGACCGCCATTTTCACGGTCGAGTCGATCTTTTCGGCCCCTAATTTTAGGATTTTAGAAACATTTAGGACCTTTTTGGCGAAACCACTTGCGAGTCAACAGCGCCCTCAACGCCCAACTTTTTGGGTAAAGTTTTCAACTGGCTGCGAGCGCACTCTTTGGGAAATACGATGTGACGTTAACCTACAAAAACAAATGTTTGTTTTCACGATTTAATTCACGTCACAATGGAATTGGTGATTACAGATTAAAATAAAAACAAAAAATGCCTAAAAGTCACTTACTAGTATTACATTTGCAGGTACATAAAACTATGGATCAAACCATTTGAAACATATATAGGAAAAGGTGATTTCCAGAATATTCAAGTTATATACAGAATAGGTGAAAATGTCATCCAAACAATCAATGATGGTACTAAACACTACTCCAATGGTGTCTCACTACTATCATCAAACTTGAATGTTATTTGCAACCGTTTATCGTACACCCCTACTGATATAATGGTTTCACCGTGGAGCTAAAGCTGTTCAGCTCTATGGTTGCATGGACGTCCACGAGATCCACGAGCCAAGTGACAAGCGTTCATTGAAACCGTTCAACCGTCTGAAGGATGTACACATAACATTGATAGTTTAAATCGGTAACCAGAATTGTCACGTTTTTTTATTTTTTTTTGTTCTGTTTTGTTGTTGTTGTTGTTGTTTTAGAGGGAGAGAATAAACGTGTTTGCATTTGCACAGTATGCACTGCGGGAAAAAACCAACCACGTTAAACTTTCTGGAATACTGACAGAATACTAGTATATTTACACACAGTAGAGACGCTGCTGCCGGTCCTGTTTTACATACACCATCGGAGGACATGTACCTCAGGATGGTTTGTAAATTATAGCGCTATAATTAGGATTGCGTGGGATTCTAATCCTTAATGGTCATTGAACAAAAACAAATGTTAACATTTCCTAACAGCTATAATTATTCTATTCTATTCTATTCTATTCTATTCTATTCTATTCTATTCTATTCTATTCTATTCTATTCTATTCTATTCTATTCTATTCTATTCTGACTTCACCCAATTTACTAGTATCATTTAGAACTCGTTCTATTCATTTGTGCAAATTAATAAATAACCATTTGTATTGCGGGCTTCGATTATCTGCCTACTCCGGTAGATTTATGTTGCGAGACATAACATGGGTTGCGTATGTGCGGGGATCAATTCAGAGAATAGTTGGCTGCAAGCCAAGAATGAAGAATAAGAAACAAAAAGCAAAGAACACTTCTTCACACACTGCAAAGTCTACGCTGGACTCGATTTCCAGTCCAGGTACTAGTATGTCCCACGCGTAGAAGCGTGGCTGCAGCTCATGTTGATATGCTGCCCCCAACGGTATGTGTCACTATTCTGCGGGCAAGCAGCTCGCCGGGAACCCGAAGCAGAGGACCAACAATATGCTGATTGAAAACTCCGGTTGAAAACACAACACAAAAAAACAAGACAATGCAATACTAAACTATTGTATTCTATGAAAGAAAAATTAAATCATATTATGTTTTGATTTCATACTTGATTTAAATTTTATCAGGGTTGCTAGGATTTTATGCAATGTATTGAGTACTAGATGATGCTAAATGTGACGTCTAGAGTATGATAAACTTTTACCGAATGATACTGATATATCAAAGGGTGATCTTTTACATCATATTACAAATACAAGGAAATATTAATTATTGCTGACAAAACACTGACTTGAAAGTACAGCAAGTGAGGTTACTAAAAACTACAAAGATTGAAACATGAACAATAGTAAAAAAAAAAAAACACAAGTTAAAATATACTGTAACAGGTATAAATCACTAATACAATTTCCAAAACAAGCAGCCTGGCGGCTGAGACAGGTCCGCTGTTAGCGATGCACATTTCAATTAAAGAACTGAAGATATCATTAGAAAATGAACAGTATGTATAGTATCAAAGCAATCGGACTTGCTGTTTTCAACAAGAATTCAAAAGTATCACTTTTTACCAAAAAAGACAAAAATATTCATCAAAATAGATAATTGAAGATATCACCACGAAATGAACAAATCTGAGAGAGATATCGATGGGTGTAAGTTGAATACAAGGACTGCAATCCATAATGCGATACTAATGATATTCCTGATATATGAAGTGCGTGCAACTGTACATGAATTGAATGAAGATAAAGCTAGCGGAATCTAACCAACAAGTATTTGAGGCGCCCCATGGCTCTATAAATTGCGTTTGAAAATGGGCATAGGGGATGTATTTTTTCCTGTAAATTTGTTTCAGGAGGGGTCGAGGGATTTGCTCTTCTAGGCCTTATAAAAATAAAGTGATCCGCCGAGCAGAGATAAAAACAGATAGATGAGATGATAAATGTGTTCAAAACGTATAGCTGTATTCAAGAAGACCTTCATTGACAATGTTTATATGATCAACAATCTGAACGATGGCTATACAGCGCTTCCAGTGAATACTTTCGTGTATTCCACATCGACACATACAGATACAAACATATGAAAACTCTAAAATGTGGAATGAATCAAATGAAATACTGCCAAAATGCAAATTTCTTGTTATCACATCTCTCAAGTAATTTCTCTCAAGTAATAGCACTACGATGAACCAGCAATCTGATCAAACGGCTAAAAGTTTATTACCGATGTAAACATCTATATACAATGACATCTTAACCAACCAAGGTCGTTTAATTTGCCATCACCTCGGCACTATACCTTGTGCCTTATTTGGTAAGTTGAAATCCCATCCCATTCTACTCCAGTGTGCAAAGCACACAATGTCTTAGCAGTTAGTGCATCTGTGTAGGTGTGTGTATCATTAATATGTCAAGAACCAGTTATTAAAGTCTATTGAAAGTTGGTACATATAATGGGATAATGCTCAAACCTGATTAGTTTTTGGTTAAGATCTGTGCATATTAATGATCTAATATGCATATTAATTAGCAAATTTTAAGCCTTTTTATTTTTTTCCAAAGAACCATTCAACAGATGCCCAGGGATATTGCACAAACCTGATTAGTTTTTAAATGAAAACCAGTGCATATTAATCAGCCAAATTTAAAATTTAAATTTTTTTCTCATGAACCATTCAGCTGATATAAATGAAATACACAGATGCTCCAGGTTAATGCACACACCTGATTTTTTTTTTGAAACCCATGTATATTAATGGCCTAATTTGGATATTGGCAAATTTTAAGCATTTTCAATTTTCGTTCTCAAGTACCATTCAACAGAATTTAATGAAACGTGGTATGTAGATGGTCTGATGCTTAAAGTATTGTTGCAGATAGGGACATATAGTTTGGTTGTCTGACAAGATGCATGTCCAAAATATCAAGTAATCATATATGGTCATTATTTCATTAAATATTTATAATTGTTAAACCATAGCTACTTGGAACCACTCTGATCATTGCTTGCATTCTTTAAATGCTGTATTTGCTCTAATAGAAGCACATGTGCTAACTTCATCGCTCTAATACCTTCAGCACACATGAGTACGTTCTAAGCTTTCTTCGATTTTCCATTGCCAAGAGCTATCTGATTACAAATTTTACAAAGCTCAAATATACGACCTCTCGATAAATCACAGATAGGTTTATGGTGAGAGGATAGATTTATTCGAATTGAGTTTGTGAAACAATGTAATTTAAGTACTGTTACTTATTGTACAATACTATGTAATATAGAATTAGAACAATTATAGAACAATTACTAGTAATTTAACACAAAAAATAATATCCTACTATCATATTAAGTTGAGTCTATACTCCATACAATTCTCATCCACACCTCTTTCAAAAATTATGACACTGTAGTGTCATTCATTATTGTAAGTACAAAATATAGTTTGTAAAATAAGGGTTTTTCCTACGAAGCAACAAATAAATGTAGATATTTAAAATTCTTATATCAAAGATGCATTGTTTTATTCATATGTATTATTATATGGACGAAGAAATAAAAAAATAAAAACATTAAAAATATTTAATATCTATGTACAAACAAATGGTAACAAATACAGAATCAGTTAAGTAAGTTAGTTAGTTAGTAAAATAATATTAAACATTATCGAATTTATGTAATCTATATTCTCTACTGTGAAATATGTAGTATAGATAGTATATATTGATTACCACATAGTATATACTGATGACAACATAGTGTATATCAATTACAACATAGTATATATTGATTACCACATAGTATATATTGATTACCACATAGTATATATTGATGAGAACATAGTATATATTGATTACCACATAGTATATACTGATGACAACAGTAGTATATATTGATTACCACATAGTATATATTGATTACCACATAGTATATACTGATGAGAACATAGTATATATTGATTACCACATAGTATATATTGATTACCACATAGTATATATTGATTACCACATAGTATATACTGATGAGAACATAGTATATATTGATTACCACATAGTGTATATTGATTACAACATAGTATATATTGATATACAACAGTAGTATATATTGATGAGAACATAGTATATATTGATTACCACATAGTACATACTGATGACAACAGTAGTATATATTGATAAGAACATAGTACATATTGGTGACAACATAGTGTATATTAATTACAACACAGTATATATTGATTACAACAGTAGTATATATTGATGAGAACATAGTATATATTGATGAGAACATAGTATATATTGATTACCACATAGTACATACTGATGAC